CCAATTCCATGTGTTGTTATACTCATATATACACATATTTTTAAATTTCCATATATTCTTTTCATTTCTTTTTGCTTATCAGATTATAAAAAAAACATTTGTCTTTGAATATATATCAGCTCCGTGGCGTATATATATATATATATATATATATAACGTTAATAACACACCCACGATACCATCCCTACCATCTGAATGTTTGGTTTTCCACTGTTGTGCAGTTTACTAGGAGTTTTCTTCCTCGCACAAATTCTTTGTAGAATCGTTTACGACCAGCGAGTATTCTTGAACTTTACGACTAAGAGATTTTCAGCAATCGAGCTTACTCCTTATTAAAACGCACCTCAGTTATTATTATTTTGGACGGCGGTTGACTCTCACCTTTAGGTAATAATGCTCATTTGCCCACTCTTCCATAAAAAAAGATAAATCACTCGATCAAACAACTTGACGCTTATACTAGTAAGTCGATGGACAAAAATAGAATAGAGATTACGATATCTACGGTGGCTCTCGAAAAAAAAGATACTACGCAATACTTAGGTATCATCTCAAGTATTCATTATGCATGTGTAATAAGTGCAAGTAATAAGCTGAAAGTATTAGTTGGACTAAGGTTTTTGTATTATTGATATTGTATGCTAATAAAATATTAGTGTAAGATTGAACCATGTTCTATTTAGAATCCATAACATGCTAACCAACATTTGTTACAATATCGAAGGAGCAGTTATACACATTATATGTCGTACATATACATATTGGAAAAATAATAATTGCATTAGACACCCTGCCGCAATATAAGAGTTTTAACAAATGTTATCTATCAAAATCAAAATCGATCAATCCTAGTCTTAAATAGATTAAAATTTATAATTATAATAATGCTTTGATTTTAATCAAGAATTGCGTTTTTAATAAAATAATCATACAAGCTTCAATACAACTAGCATATGAAAATGGTGCGAAAAACGGGCTAATAAATATGCGGCATCCGGTTCTTGGTATACTGCGGTCGGCTTCCGTCTTGTTGGCGATTTACGAGTATATTTCTAGTTGTTATATTGCGTGGCTTTCATCTGTGATGTAGGATTATATGTTGAAAAAGTAGATTATGTCTAACTCCTAATACGTTAGGTAAATAATACAGTAGTTTAAGCTACATGTGACATTTTCAATATTACTACACTGTCTGTTGAAGCAATAGTTTCTACAATTTTATTTACATAAAATAATGTCATGATAAGTGACTGCTGTCCCCCTAATACATTTTTGAATACTACAAGCCTGCTGAATAAAACTATATTTACGGATTATTTTTAAATTCCCGGCGTTTCGTTAAAGTAGTTAATTAAACGCGATAAAATCTGTAAATATAGTTTTATATAATGTGTAGTTTTCGCGTAAATTTAAGAAATCAGGCCAGCCTTAAGGCGTAAGGCACCCCCCACTAGATGGAGTGATGACCTGCTAAGAGTTGCGTGAATTTGTTGGATACAGTTGGCTCAGGACCGCGCTTGGGCATTCCAAAAAACCTCAATAGATTCATAGCAAATATGCTGCACCAAATCAGCAGAAATAGAAAAATAAGTCGATCGTAGTTGCACTGAACCTACTGGAGCTAACAGATCAACCTTATAACTCTAAATACCGAAGAGTGGCAAGCGCAGAATACGCCTCTCCCGTTAAAGGGAATGATACCTGATAAGACGTATTGGGAGTCGATGGTTGCACTTAACTTTATACCGCTTTCTACAGGCCGAATGTGTAACTCTAGCGAGAATCGCTTTTCTATGTCACTTGGTCATCGAAAATAAGATATTAACGTTAAAAATCACTTTAAATAAAAAGTAAAAGCTGACTGCAAAGAACTAAAAAGAATAAAATAATTTCCACAAAATGGACTTTAAAGTCGGTGCTTAGAAATGTTTACACATCAATGAAACCATTGTCTAAATCATAGATGCATAGACCGCGGCCCGCCGGTCGAATACTGGTGGCGCACCGACAGCAAAAATAATACTCTCGTACATTCGAAAAATATTGAATTATATTCCAGAATAAAACAAAAAAAAATATGTTCGAAAAGTAATTTGAATCCCGCGCTCTTAAGTACGCTTATCGGTGCGCCGTGCATTCGTCGGTAACAGCGGTCGGTAATATTCGTGCTGATCTCGGTTAAATTCGTTTTCTTGAGGAACCGCTGCGGCCGGCGGCGCGGCGACGACGGCAGCGCGGTGGCGGCTTATCCACGGGGGTCGCGCGCAGGCCCGGTCAACTCTGTACGGACAGAATGAAATACCTACGGGGGCTGAATTTTATTATTGCCATTTGTTAGATAAATGTCTTGTTTCATAATTAGTAAGATTTTGCTAAAGATAAATTACACTCAAAAATTTTGAATATAGAAATAATAATCCATAGGAAGATAACTATGCCTGTCGTATTTTTCTACGTTATTATATTAGCATATCTTTGACAGTAACAGAAAAATAAATGTTTTCTTTTTTTTTGATTTTCAATGAGTAGAAAAATATATTTTTTACTGGTAGCACTAAAATATCTAAATGAGTATATAATTCTTATTTCTCATAATATGACGCCGCCGTATAAATTATTGTTGTTCATGATTGGTTGTTATGTTTGTTTTGCTTGTGTCTTTTTCTAAGATTTTGCAAGTTTACGATGTTGAGTTGAGATTAATATCCTTCGTTTATATGATGTGCAATGTGTTAGTCAATGATTCGTTGTGAAATACGAAATTGTGACTAAAAACTACGCTGCAATGGCGGATAAAGAAAATAGAAAAAGTGTTCTAAGTGCAACAGCTTACCAACCATTAACAACATTAAATTATTTAGGTTTTCGAAACCCGCAATAAAGTATATTTTGCGGTACGTATACAATATACATATACACTATTTAATAAGTTCTAACCTTAAAGTAAATATCTTGTCCAACTTATTGTTTCTCTTTAACCATTTAAAAACAAATTGGTTTGTAAACCATTGGACCTACTTTGATTATATTTGTATTTAACAATTATATCTTTTGTTTTCAGCTGTAAATTGTGGGCGAAATATTATATTCCTTCCCAAGTACAGTATACTACTTTAGCTTTCCAGACAAAGCTACATAATAAGCCTATAATGCTGTGTGAAAAACATTTTCATGATGGTTAATTTAATGATGCAACCAAGAAAAAGCTCTTGAGAACTGCAGTCCCATGTGATGTAAGTAAAGTGTATAATGTATATGGTAATATGGTATGTATATAATTTTCTTTAAGGAACTTTACTATATTTAGGAGTGGACTTTGATAGACTGTAATGAAGATGATGATGATTATTCATATAACCATCATCTGGATCTAATATGGATGGACAGACCACATACAGTAGTTTGAATCCTGTTAAATGTTAATGCTTTCAACTAATTTATAATAATTGGATCGGCCAAAGCATCCAAAGGATTGAAGTCTATAAAGTTAGCACAAGCCCTTCCTTACATTATTAAAAGTGCAACACGCTGCATATTATTTTTAACAATCATTTTTTAAAAAAACAACAAACCTTAAGAAAGTTCAGGCATCACAATCTATGAATAATTACATTTCGTCCTAAATCAAATTTAAAGGAACAACTTGTACAACACAGTAGAAATACATGCATCAAATGGTTCTCAAATAGATAAACACAAGACTTCTTTTCACATAGTTATTGTATTTACTATCTTATTTTGTTATATTAATTGTAATAGTGGGTGTATTATAGTGCAAGTTGGATGAACAAGATCCATTCATTTACTTTGTATTGGTAGAAGGGTAATGTAGTGCCACATGAGCAGGGACTGGTTTACTATGAAAGTAATGTCAATGAATATAATGTTAATTTAATTTTATATAATAATTTTATGATACTATAATTTATTTCAGTTTTTATTTATTTCCAGACTAACAAAGTGTATTCCCATTTTATTTTGTGGAATCACAAGCAGGATCTTCAAAAGGGACAACATTATATCCACTGAAGAACAACCACAAACATCAAAGCATAACAGATAATGTTGAACCTAAAAAAGAAAGTACTCTATATGAAAATTTTTAAAATGAAATAAGGAATATTTTTGTAATCTAATATTTAATATGTTTTTTAATTTTGAATTAAAATTATTCTATTTATAAGCTGCATTCAATACTTAATATATTGCATATAATATAAAGACAAAAATTTTAGTGTCAATTCAGGGAAATAGATAGACAACCAAATATTATCAAAACAAAATTATTATTTGTGAATGTTGCACTTTGCACTTGTGTGTAGGAGCTTGTTTATTAATGAACTTGTTTTTGATTAAAATATTGATATTTTGGTTATTGTAGACATTCTGTGATTTGTGATTGTATATTATCAATTCATCCATGATTGTAAATCGTATATATATTGTTTATCATTGTTTACTTAAGTAATTGAAATGTTGTAATCAATATTGATTTTCTTTTCATGTTTAAATCCATCAAATGTATTTATAGAAAGAACTAAGCTGCTGGAGAAATTTTGTCTTAAGTTATGTATATTTTTTTATTTTAATTTGTATTTTTATTTTGAATAAATAAATAGAAATTTTGTATTTGTTCTTTTATTTAGCGCTGGGATAGGCAACCCAAAAAATACCTCAAAAAAAAAAACCAAAAAAAGGCCACGTTCAAATTTTCCCGCCACACGAGAAGTGCAGGAGGCTGACGATAGATAGAGCTAGTGGTTATACATCGCATTTCCTGAAGTTGTCGTTCTTCTCTGATAGGAGTAATAGTGTTCTGTGGTCGCGCGCCGGCAGCCGTAGCGAGCAGACGCGTTCTAGCTCGGAGTTCCGCGCATCGAGCCGCTCTTTGATGGCCAGCTGTTTCTGGAACGCAGGGCAGTTAATCTGGTTGGCTCCGTGCCCCTCGTGTTTACAGTTGGAGCATACCGTGATGGTAGCTCCCGTAGCTGTGACCGTGATCATGGTTGGATTCTTTTTGGTGCCGTACGAGTGCTTCGTATGGTCGAAGGCATAACAATTTTACACTGGTTAATATGAGCTAAATTCTCCATGTATGGCTGAGCCTTGTTCTTCTTCGCGCAGAAGATAGTCCTCTGCGACGTGTCAAAGGCGTGGAGAATATGTCTCACGGTGTATTTGTTTTCAAAGAGCAGTAGGTGTAGTCTGCCTGATTTGCCGATTGGTTTGACTCTCAGCGGTGTAATTCCGATGCATCGGTTGATCTCCTCTGCCATCGCCTTCACCGTTTCTCCGAAAGTTTCATTCTTTATGAAGATCTTGGTCATCATGTTCCTCTCCCCCATGGGTTTAGGGGCTGTCACTCTGGCTGGATTGAGTTCTTCAATTTTCTTGAAGATATCTCTCCTCGCCTCTATGGATGATGGTGCGATGTGTATCTGTTTCGCAGCCTGATGTCACCTGTCTTACAGCTGTGAGTGCCTGGGTATTGGCACAGAGGTCTTCATCTCTTATCGTTATGACCGGCATGTGTGTCTTCTTAATTCTTTCCTTCTTTTGGACCACCCTGTTGTCCTCATTCGACGAACTAGGTCGTGGTCTTTTCCTTTTGTTCGTAGCACCTGATGCAGTATTATCCTCGGCGCTTATGTTATTTAACTGCCACTGGTGTATCGTTCTCGATACCGTCTAATGGACTGAATTTATTATGTAGCGGCACGCTCGGCGTCACGTTTGCTTGTAGTTTCCTTATATGAGCAATCGCGCGATACGTTTGTGTCAACATTCGTGGCGTACATAACTGCGGCACAGCAACAGCGACGGCGCACACGTGACGCGCGCCTCCTTCGGCGCGTGCAGGTGCGGTGGAGGGAACTGCAGCGTTGGACTTTGCACTGACGCCGGAAGCGGCTACGGCGCTGTGGAATATTCCACAGCCACCGCATTTCCCGCGTTTCGTTTTCTTCACTTTATTGATACTGTTTAATGCAGTTTTAGGATTGATTCTTGCACATTGGTCACTACCACAGTTTATGCATCTGTAGTGCTCATCCGAGGTCAAGTCTAATTGGCTTATGGTGACGAATTCACGTATACACTTGCATTGTCCGCACACTCTGTTCGATTTTATTGCATTGTCCGCACACTCTGTTCGATTTTATTCCAGTCCTCAGTGGGGCCAGGTATACGGTCATTTCACTAAATATTTCTATGCTTTGTCCGTTAGTTCTTCTTCTTGGTTTGTTGTTTAAAAAAAAATGATTGTTAAAAATAATATGCAGTGTGTTGCACTTTTAATAATGTAAGGAAGGGCTTGTGCTAACTTTATAGACTTCAATCCTTTGGATGCTTTGGCCGATCCAATTATTATAAATTAGTTGAAAGCATTAACATTTAACAGGATTCAAACTACTGTATGTGGTCTGTCCATCCATGTTAGATCCAGATGATGGTCATATGAATAATCATCATCATCTTCATTACAGTCTATCAAAGTCCACTCCTGAATACAGTAAAGTTCCTTAAAGAAAATTATATACATACCATATTACCATATACATTATACACTTTACTTACATCACATGGGACTGCAGTTCTCAAGAGCTTTTTCTTGGTTGCATCATTAAATTAACCATCATGAAAATGTTTTTCACACAACATTATAGGCTTATTATGTAGCTTTGTCTGGAAAGCTAAAGTAGTATACTGCACTTGGGAAGGACTTGGAAAAGGCCTATGACAGAGTGGATAGGGATTTGCTATGGCAAACACTGAACTCATTTGGGTTGAGCGCTGGCTTGATACAGGCATTGGAGTCTCTTTATAGGGACTCTAGTGCTTGTGTTAGGATCAACGGGGTCTACTCGGACTAGTTTGACATCCATAAAGGTGTCAGACAGGGCTGTGTGGCTTCCCCGTGGCTGTTCAACCTATTTATGTGTCTTTTGTGTGAGTGTATGAGTGAATGCGGGAAATAGAGTAAATGGGGCCTTGCACTCTATTGTGAAGAGTCAAAATGTGTCGAAAAAGGCACGTATGGCAATTCACAATGCTGTGTTGGTCCCTACTTTAACGTATGGTAGTGAAAGTTGGGTGTGGCAGAAGAAGCACGAGAGTAGAATAAACGCAGTAGAAATGCGGTCGTTAAGGAGTATGTTAGGGCTGAATCTGAATGACAGGGTAAGAAATTGTGTAATAAGAGAAGAGTGTGGTTTGCAAGGTGATGTTGTGACCAGGATTAAGAAAGGAATGCTTCGGTGGTTTGGTCATGTGGAAAGAATGAGTGAGGAAAGAGTTACAAAGAAAATTTATGGTGCAGAAGTGAATGGCAGAGTCGGAAAGGGACGTCCTAGGCGAAAATTTATCGACCAAATTGGCGATTTATTGAAAACGGGCCAAATTAGGAGTAACCTTAACCGACGAGCATGTACGCGTAGGTGTATGGATGTGAAGGAGGCAAGAGAGGTGTGTCAGGATCGTGCCAAATGGAAGTCTGTAGTCTCTGCCTACCCTTTTGACAGGCGTGAGTGTTTATGTTTTGCAGTTGTTTGGCTCTCTTGATTATGAGTAGTTCTGTCTTCAGGCTGTTCATTTCTGTTCTCATGTTGTTTACTTCAGCTACCACAGAGTCCATGCGCTGGAGGATGGCCAGCAGGATCTCCAAGTTCGGGTGGTCGGTGGACGCAGTCAGTGCTGTCTGCCTTGGTGGTGAGGGAGGCGTAGGGCCGAGCTCTTCATCAGTGGTGATCGAAGTTCTCGAGGCTCCCAGCTGCGGGAACTCCTTGTTGCTTCTCAGAGCTTGCGCGAAAGTAGTCTCCTTCCTGACCCGCGCAGCTTCTGATCTTTCCTTGGCCTTGGCCTGGCGGTCCAGCGGTTTCCCTCAACATCAAGCTAGCGATAATCCAAGCCTGCATCCTCCCGATAATGGATTACGGGGTGGTGCAGCTCTTGCCCAAGTACTCCCTCTCGAACCTAGAGCGCATCGAGAGGCAATATCGGATGGCGCTCAAGTGCGCGGGACAGATGCCCCGCTGCCTGGACACCGACCTGCTCTGGGAGATGCTGGACTTTGAGGCGTGGCACCTAGAGCCCATGATCTCCACGCGAGTATGCTAAAGAAGACGGCACTGGAAGTGCAAGATCTTCAACAGCCGGGTGCACCGCACACGGCTCATGGCCAATTCAACCCGGCGCTCGAGTGTACGAGACTGGGTGAAATCAACTATAGAGCACGTCCCACACCTAGGAGATACGCCAAGGACAGCCACGGAAACGACCTCCCTCCGAGGCCGTTGCTCCTTCTTAGCGCAAGACAGAGACGAGAGCGAAATTAACTCACAATTACTGTAACCCCCACCTCTCCAACACCCCATCCCATCCTGCCACAAAACTCCCTGTACACTAACCCACCTTCCCACCGCACCTCCCCTTAGGCAGTAAGTAGATTGTAAACTAGTTTGTAAAATGGTACGTAAGTTATTTATTCGATTAAAAATATAGTCAGTGTGCCTGCGTGCACACGCTCATGCGGACACTGCACACCAATCTATAAAGTAAATAAATAGTTTACTCTACACTATACAATTCCCTCGCGGGATACACATAGCGTAAGTAGCTGACTCACCCACTGCGGTATCCCACACAGTAGGCCCCACGCAGGGACTATATGTAACACACTTGGGGAGCAATAAAGAACTATTCTATTCTATTCTATTCTATATCCACGGGTTATATTGTTAGAGCAAGCGAGATAACACTAGTCCCGAATTCCCGATTGCTCGCGTAGGAAGATACACGAAGCTTCCAGAGTCGGTTTCGTAATTTCTCCAGACAGTTTTCGACTCTATACGCGCGGTATAAAAGCCACGCTAACCGCAGCGACCGACAGTTCGGTTTTAATTTGAGTGAAGTGTAAATAGTTCAAGTGAAGATTTTACATCGAATAGCCGGTGTCAAATATTTTGATCCACATTCAACGTAGATTTCCCCGTCAAGTGCCGTGTATAATTGTGTTGTGAAATCGTAAGTAAAACTCTGTTATCAATAAGTGTTTTCTTACCTATTTAATCAATTATTTTTGGTAATTTAAAAAAAGGATGGGTAATTTAAGTAGGTACTGTAATTGTTTTTAGGTGTTGTGTTAATCCTAGCCAGGATTAGAACGCAATATAGACAAGCCAGAACCTAGTAAAAAACGTAAGGTTAAAGATGAAAATCGGCAGTTTTAAGAAATTTGGACTGAGAAATACTTTTTTATATGGTCGCATAACAAAGTCGTTTGTTTAATTTGCAAGAATTCAAAAAAGTTTGAGAAAAGTCAACTGAATCGTATGACTATCCAAAGACGAATTATCTCTTTGTCAGGTAATATTGCGGAACAATTAAATAAAAAAACTAAGATCATTGAATTTTTTTCATTAGCACACGAAGAATCCACTGATATTAGTTTCACAGCTCAACTTCTGATATTCATACGAGGTGTTACTCAAAATTTTGAAGTCTTAGAAGAGTTATTAGGAATGTGTTCATTGAAAGGTCAAACCAGAGGAGTTGATATACTCAATGTACTTTTGAATGAGTGTTCAAAAACTGATTTGGACTTATCAAAATTACCGGGAGTTGCGACTGACGGTGCTCCTTCGATAATTGGTATCATTTCTGGGCTAGTTATTTTGTTGAAAAAGCATCTGCAAGAAAAAAACATAAACGCTGAAGATCTCATGCAGTTTCACTGCATTATACACCAAGAAGCTTTCTGTTCTAAAAAAAATGAATGTTTAAAAATGTTTTTTTTTTGGGGGGGGGTTTTTTTTTTTTTTTTTTTTTTTTTTTTTTTTGGGTGTTAAAAAGGAGTTTTTTATTTTAGGTTTTAAACGAAACGTAAATGAAACCGCCTTGCAAATGAAAGTTTGGAAGCAGTTTTACGTGTTGCTACAAGTAAATTTGAGCCAAATATAAAAAAGATTGTAAGCACTACGCAGTGCCACGCTTCAAATTAATAAATTCTTTTTCAATTTTAAACATTATTATCAATTCTTTATTGTCTTTAATTACCTATACTCCTGGCGGCCCGCCATCAGTTCACAATGTGCCCGAGTGGCCCCTAATCTTAATAAGTCTGTGCATCACTGGTCTAAATAATAGAGCAAACGAAGAAGTAAAAAGGAGAAGCAAAAATTAAATGGAAGACTATCTGATAATGGATGACTGGCCTGTTGGTCTAGTGGTTAGTGACCCTGACTGCTATGCCGCAGGTCGTGGGTTCGATTCCCACCCAGGACAAATGTTTGTGTGATGAGCACGATCATTTGTTCTGTGTCTGGGTGTAATTTATTTATAATATTTATGTATTTAGAAATATATAAGTATGTTTATCAGTTGTCTAGTACCCATAACACAAGCTCTGCTTAGCTTGGGACTAGATGGCGTTGTGTGATATTTGTGGAATATTATTATATTATTATTATTATAATTTCCTCATATCAAAATGTTCTAAAAACTCATCAAAACTGCAAGAAAGTCAAAACAGCCTAGAATCATTGCTGTGCGAGACGAGAATGACCGTACTTTGAATGACAAAATTTCGAGTTTAGGGAGATGGAAACAATACTAATTAACCTTCATCTTCTTCATAAGTTCTTTATGAGTACGTAAAAATCCACTGTCCGATATGAGTCTTTATGAGTGCGTAAAAATCTACTGATCGATATGAGCTCCTCCCATTGTTGAGTGAATTTGTTTTAATTATTAATAATAATTAATAATTAAACATTATTAATTCATAAAATTTATTATTATTAAAAATAAATAAAAAAATAAAAAAGTTTTATTTGTGTCTTTTTTATTATTGCGAAGAAGAAAAAAGAATAAAGGCATTATTTTAGTTGAATATTTTAGAGGGAACTTAAATTACTGGCGGATTGTAGCTCTTGTATTATCGTTAAAATAATTATTAAAAGTGAATTTTGATACGTAAAAGTGGTGAAAATTCACTTATAAATTATTTTTGCATGTAAATTATTAGTGAAAACGGTGAAAAAAGTGTTCCGATGGCACCTAGAGTCATCATGCCATCAAAATCTCTTAAAAATTCACAGTGTACCGTGCCAACATATTGTCAAGATTTTTGTGAACCAAATATACATCAGAATAGGCTTTATGGATGTTCATATATAGATCTTTTTGATTTTAAATTTGAAAAATGTATTTTACTCGTTTACTGTAATTTTAAACTGGCTAATTAATAAAGGTTTTGTGTTTCAAAGCGTTTAAACATTTATTTGAATTTAACACATAAAAACAAATTCACCATGTGACATAAAACATAAAAAGATGATATTTCATAAGGGATGGGGTAGTTAACATCGAAGGAAGACATTATAATATTAGTTTCTTCCATATTTGTCACGAAATTCTTCTCATGAGATTCCTTTTAAATTATTCTACGAGTGTAGTCAATCTACGAGTGCTAAAAGGTGTCGTGACTCTGTACATTGTGGCGTTTCTTCTGGTTCAGGACCTCTTGAGCTCGGCACTTACACTGAACTTTATACTGTACAAACGAGTAGGGGTTTCTCGATCCTCATTCTACCCATGCCGCACTTCCACTCTCGATCCAATCGATATTCTATAGACACGCCAATAAAAAGGTTTTATCCTCATACTGTGCTTTAAAATAATAGTTAAGCTAAGGCGACAAAAGATTGTTCCAGAATTTGGTTGCCAACTATCAAAAACTACCTTTTAAACATCATGTCATGTATATAGATCGTATTTTAATCAATACCATCCAATCAATACCGAGCAAACACATGCTGGACAATGAAGAAATTTAGTAAAAATTCATTATATTCAAAATATAAAAATGAGACAAGACTCAGACATGCAGGTTTTCTAATGATGTTTTCTAACGATCCATTTGGGCCGGGTTTTTTTTTTCTCATATTTTTTTTTTTTGCTTATTCGAAGCAAGTGTTCCACGTATGACTTGTTCATGAATATTCTACGCACGGTCCCTGATTTATAGAGGTCGTTTTCTGTCTAGCCTTAGATTAATGTCCGTTTCAAATGTTACGTTGCTCAGTTATTCAAAATCAGATTTGTGTCGTCTCTACATAATATTGAACTTAGTTACTACTACTACTGCTTATCATTTGGTAAATAATAAAAATTCTTTCAATTCGTATTATAACATAATCTTATATTGAGTAAAAATTATTTATTCATTTAATTTCATTTCATTTAAAAAAGGCACTATCTGAAATTTCACAATTGGAGTACCTAATATTACTTAGAATATTTGCGTAACAAACTTGTTAAGAATCTGCTTGATGAAACTAATTAAGTCCATGGACACTTGCAGTATTATCACTTCTTAGAACAATGATAAAATATCTCATAGTCTATAACTTTTCTTACTCATTACTGACTCTCTTACTCTTCAAACGTGGGAGGTTTAAGAAATAAGACTTACGATTTACCTGATGTTATGTTAATTTCGAACTATACAATTATTGTTTTTCTGAGACTTGGTTTAAGCATAGTATCTTTGATAATGAACTATTTGATACCCGTTATGTCGCATTTAGAAAAGATCGTGTGTGTCGTGATGTGTCCAAAAGTGGTGTAGGTGTTTTCAATGTCATCTTACGTGAGATCTCATCTTTTCATATTGTAGATGTGGAAATCAATGAAAAGAATACGTGAATAATGTTAAAATTTAATTACAACCATGAAACAAAAAATGTTAGACTTTGTGTAGTCTACTTGTCTTCATTAATTAAACTAGAACGTCTAAATATGCTTTAAGGAAGCGCGGACGATATTACTAACCACGTCGATTACTTAGTTAATTTTGGA